TGACCGCAGGGGCCCGCCAGCAAAAACCCCCCAAAAAAAAAAAAAAAAAAAAAAAAGTCCTAGACCTGGCAGCTTTCTTTCTCACTTTCCCTCTCTATCACTGTCTCTCTCTGGTGAGTGCACCAGCCCCATCGCAAATGAAAAAAAAATAATAATAAATAAAATTAAGTAATTCTTCAAAAAATAATAACTAAATCTTTAAAAAGAAAAGAATTTCAAGTGAAATGGCCCAGGTGTTTCTGTCCGTCACCAGCCCGCGCGCAGCTGGTAGCAGGGTCCGGTGGTGCAGTGGGAAGGGCTCAGGATGCTGAGTGACCTGGGAAAGCTGTTCACCTGCTTGCAGCCCTGGTGTCCCCACAGGGCAGCAGTGCACGGTCCCCCTCTGCCCAGCTCGGGTGGCTTCCCTGTCCATGCTGACTGTGGTCACCCCTTCACCAGACCTCCTCTCTTCTTGCTTCTCCCAGAACATTGAGGTACACCGCTAACCTGAATGCTACATTTTGTTGGCCCTACCCCCAAGTCTTGAGTACTTAAAATGGTCCCTGCTGGGGATGGGGCAGCAGGTGACGTGGTGGTTAAGGGTGCTGGACTCCCACATGGCCGACCACGGTTCAAGTCTTGGACCTGGTGGCTTGCTTTCTCACTCTCCCCTGCCCCTGCTCTGTCCCTCTCTGGTCAAATTAAAATAAATAAGTAAATAAATAAAAGTTAAATAAAAATAATTATTTAAAAAAAGAAAAATAGTCCCTGCTGGGGGTTGCCAGGTGCCATGGTGGTTAAGGCGCTGGACAATAGTCCAAGTCCTGGACCTGGTGACTTGCTTTCTTGCTTTTTCTTTCTTTCTCTCTCTGGTCAAATTAAAAAATAATAATTGGGGTCAGCAGGTGGCATGGTGGTTGGAATGCTGGACTCCCACATGGCCAACCACAGTTCAAGTTCTGGGCCTGGTGGCTTGTTTTCTCACTTTCCTTTTCTCTCTTTCTTTCTCTAGTGAATGCATGTGTACTATGCAAATAAAATAATAATAATAATTAATAAAATTAAATAAATAATAATAAATGGCATTAGATAAATAATTCTTTAGGGTGAAAATAAAAACAGTCCCTGCTAGGGCCAGCTGGTGGCCTGGAGATTAAGGCGGCTGAATC